GGAAGAAGTTCGAGGTAACCATTCCAAATATTTTGGTCACAACTTGAATGATCTCATAATGAATTAACGTTTCTCGTCATAGGTTATTGTGTGCAAAATCTGAAACTAAAATTAGTCAGAAAATTCACATAATACTAACTGATATAATTATATAATTTTGTTCTTGACATGCTGTCTGTATATGTGATTTATGCATGTACTGCATATAATGAAATATAAAGGAAAAATATGTGAACTATGTAGAATGAAATGTGACATATGTTTCACCTATTATGACATGCATTTTTGTCAATGTGATTTGTTTGAAAATGTGACCTGTATTTTATTATTTCCATTCTTGTATTAGTTCTATGAATTGTATTATTTTCATTGTGAGGCTAATACTAATTTTAATTTTAATCTACAAAAATGGTGTACATGTACGTATGTTTGTTGAATGGATCTCAATTATCGTCGGCGTTGGTATATCATAATTACAGTTATAGAAATCTTGTGGACATAGTTATAACAGAGTTTGGTTTCGATCCTACGAAGGTAGAAGTCTTATTGAAGTATGTATTGAAGAATAATTTGCCTCCAATCAGAATAAAAATTGACAATAATTTGCTATCGTATATTCTGCTAAAGGATATGGATCGTGAACATGCTAAATACCCATGAATCATTATGTGATTGATGCAGAAATTGATCAACCATCTATAACGGTGTCGTTGATGCACATTCTAGTGGTGAGTTGTATACATTGCAGGACATGAAATCTGACTTCTGCGAGGCATCAATAAAAAAGTGGGTCACATGTGTGGGTTCAAAGTCACAAATGTATCTATTACATACGCTAGACAAGTAAAAGAAAGAAGGTCTATCGTGATATGGATATTTTAAAATTGAGCTTGTCATTTTTTACGATACAGGTCATGTTTGAGTTTATGGTGGTATGGTCCTACAAGAAATAATATGCTGTAAAGTGTTTACATGATGAATGCAAATGGATATACAGATCGATAAAATAGAGTAAAACAGATCTATTTAAGTTTAGGAAGATTGGTGATGGTCACACATGTGCACCAAATATAATGTTGGAGTCACACAGGCACGTATCAACTAAAGTTTTGTCATCTAGTATTAAGTACAAGTACACATCATCCTCTACTATATACACTCCAAAGGATATATGAAATAATATGTTGCATACTTCGAATGTTTGGAGATCTCGCGAGCAAACATTGAAAATGATTAAAGGTGGCCCAACCGATTCATTCGGTGAGATACCAAGCTTCTTCTACATGCTTCGACAGAAAAATCTTGGTACGGTCACAATATTGGAAGTTGATAATCACAATATGTTCAAATATTACTTTATGGCAATTGGTGCATCAATACAAAGATGGGAGCATTGTAGGCCCGTGATTGTGGTTGATGGTACTTACTTGAATGATCATTATGGTGGTACACTTTTCATAGCTCGTACGCATGATGCAAATAACAACATATTCATTCTTGTTTTTGGAATTGAAAATAACGAGAACGACGGATCTTGGACATAATTTTTCGAGAACTTGAAGAAGGCTTATGGGTACAGAGAATGATTGTTTTTGTATTAGATTGTCACACCAGTATAAAAAATAAATAGAACATGTGTATCCAGGGACCTTTCATGGTATTTGTTCGTAGCATTACTGCAAAACCTGAAATCATATAACGAGAAATTAGGTCAAAACATTACACAAGCTTTCAGTATAACATGTAATGACTGGACACAATGAATGAGAAGATTAGTGGTTAACTTGAAATGTATTACATTTGATTACATTTTCACATTAAAATGGTCATATATGTAATTTATATGATATTTATTGATATGATTTTAAGTTTGTAGGTTGATATGAAAAGTGGTCACACATGCAAACAAACAGATATTCTACAAAGACATCGATCATAGTAAAATCAGTCAAATGCGGTCACAAAGGCAACTAAGAATTACCCTATTGTATCATTGCTAGAGTCATTGTGGCAACTATACAATCTTGGTTCTGCAAACATAGACACGAATGAAACTTTCACGAAGTTGTCAAATAAGTACGAGAAAGAGATGAGGAAAATGAGTATAAATTTGAAGAACTTAAAGGGTAACTTTATTATTATGGTAACTGATATTTATGTATGTAACCTGAATATATATGCATGTGGCATGTACTATATATCTGTGACTATATATATATATATATGCTCCGTTTGGGAGCCATTCTTTTTCAAATAATACATTTTATTTTTCACATCAAGTGGGGTCCATGGAGAATGTGTGGTTGAAAAAAAAGGAAAAGTTATTGATGTGATGTAAAATAATATTTTATTAAAGAATGTGTGGTTAAAAAT